ATCCGCCTTATTGGCTCATCGCATCGGAAATAAAAAAGCGGAAGAATTTGAAACGCTTATCACGATGTTTTTACTACAATTTTATTCAGTTGTATTCAGTCAATGTGTCAGTCGGTGAGTGAATAGTGGAAACGAAATAAAAAATCGCACATGTTTATGAAAATGCTGAACTTGTAGACATGATTCTTATTTCCGGGGGGGGGGAGTCTTTACAAAATGCTGCCGCGGCATCACGGATTTATGCGGATCGGTTTCAAAATCGAGTGCAACCAACCCCTCGTACCTTTGTTAATGTAGTACAAAGGGCTCGTGAATCAGGTGACTTAAGACCTCACAGGGGAGGGCATGCCGGTGCTCTAAGACCGCACGATCAAATACAGGTCCGCACTGAAATACTTGTCGGGAGGATACTTTATAAAACAAGGTAACATTTTTTTTAATTTTTATTTTTACATACATATTTTGGTTTATCTTCTTTCTACAATCATTATCTGAAAATTAATGACTCAACTTCAAAGTTATTATATATATATATATAAAAAAAGTAGGTAAATAATTGGCAAAATCCGCAAAAAGGAGGAAAGTGGATTCGAGCAGAAAATAGGATACGTAACCCGAGCGATACGTATTTCTACTGGTTGGTTTCATTAGGCCCGAAATGAATGCACATATGAAACTACAAAAGTAGATACACATGCCCACACATCCGGATACGGGTGTAACCTGAGGAAGCGAAGTTGGAGGGGGAAAAACGACACACGAAGTCCACAACAAGAGCCAACCTACACATTGTAGTATAAAATGGCTATACGACTTCGAATTTTCAAGGAGACATCTAACGTCAACCACGCCATATATATATATATATATAACTTGAGACGTGGTCATTGTCGTCTGGACCAGTTAGGTGAAAATTAAAGCTGTTTTTTTTGGTCAAAACATTCCATTCCATTCAAATTTTAATAATAGTTTTCTCATAATTAAATAATAACTGTTAATTCAATTGCCCATCTCATAATAATATAGTTAATTCAACTGTCTCTGGTCCGGTTGACAAGTTCTTACCCAACATATCTTGAAAATCACACCATCTGAAGTGATTTAGCAACGTAGCACACGCCTTACAAAATAATTTTCGTTCCATCATTCTACATGGACACTGCTAACCTTCGGCCATCTGTCAAGAGGTTCATCTTACTCATGATTCTATGCCCACCATTTTGTGCAATCATCAAGTGGGTTCACGATGTAATGCTTAACTTTCGTTTTAAATATTTTTAATCTGTTTTTAATTTGTTCTTGTCATACAGCTGTGTGTAGTTTGTATAATTTTGACCATTGTACCAAGTATATAGCTTTAACCATGTTACTGGGTGTTTCGCTCATCCTTAACGTAAATAACATTTAGCAACATCCTCACATACTACTGTAAGTTAATTTAAATTCATTTTAGACAATTGTTGCTACTTTTATCAATGTAATTGCAGCTCCTGATGATGATGGCAAATACCATTGAAAGTTAGAGAGATTAAAAAAGTATAAAGAGTCATCCTTGCTTAAATTTTGTCGAAGTACCCAACAAAAGGCAGAAGCTTTAATTTCCACCTATATATATAACGTCGGGACAGTTAAAATGTTAAAATCCATAAAAAAAATTTGCAACTTTCTTTTGGTGTTATCTCTACCAATGATCGGATGCATCTTTTCTGAGACACAAATACTTCTTCAGAGCGCGTTGACCAATCTCAGAAACATACTCCATACCTTACTCTTGAATCCACATTAGCAAAATAAACTTGTATCAGCTGTTAAGATGGTTCTTAATTGTATTAGCACATAGCTATGGGAGTTTACCTTTGATATAAAAATTTGCAGTGGGACTTCCAATTTACGATCGAATCAAACCGCCGTGCGCTACATCCAGGAGGTGAGAGCATGCTCACCAGCCCACTTTTCGAACAAGATAATGCGCGACCACATATATCCAGAATTGTGTTGGTCCATTTTGAAGACCATTTAGTCGATTTGTTCCCTTGGTCCCTAGATTTCCCGATCTTTCACCCACTGGATGTGTATGGTTCATTATGGGAATACTAATGCTCCATTTAACCCATTCTCCACAGACTTGAGCGCCACTTCGGTACGAGGTAGAAGTAGCCCGAGATGAGATACCCTAAAAGGAAAACGATCATCTGATTAGAAGTATGTCAAGACGAGTGCATAAGACTTTGTGGCGGCCCAATAAGTTATCAATTTCTTAAATCTTTATCCACAGCGGGTTTTGCTGAAATTTTGGTAAATCACTTACCTGACTTGAAAAAGACATGTATATGTTACGGCTAAAACCCAAAATGAGGTGACAATTAGGTTTAGCCGGTTAGAACTAGAACTTAGGCTAGTCTTAGGCGTAACCTATACATTCAAGGCCTAACCTAGTATTAGGGGGTTTCATTCGTTTAAGACTGGGTCCAACCAACTTGATCCAGGCTACACCTAGCCAATCCTTAATGGTTAAAACTAGATGTAAACATTGTAAGCCGATTTAGACGGTTATTTTTAAAGAAAATATAATGTCATCATTTTCATATTATTTATTTCGGCAATAAATGTCTTAAACATAACTTAGCCATACGTTGGCATTGTCATCACAGGTAAGTAACAGCGATAATAAAAAAAACTTATTCTAGTAACAACATTTTTTTGATAGCTGTAACTGAACTTTAGTACCTTTTAAATAACTGATGCAGGTATAACAATTAAAAACATAATTTTTATTTGTAACTATAACTGAACTTTACAATTTCAAAATACTTCATGTGGGTATAGCCGTATAACAGTTAAAACATAATTGTTTGTCATAACTGTAACTGAACTTTGAAATTGCAAATATTTCATGCGGGTAAAAACGATATATAAATTTAAACATTTTTTTCGTAACGGTAACTGAACTTTACAATTTTTAAATATTTCGTGTGAGTATAACAGTTCAAAAGGCCGGCATTAGACTATAAAAGTTCTTTGACAAAAGTTTTTTAAAAGTTATACATAAAAGAAATGTTATGGTTGCCAAACAGCCTGTTACACTACGTAAAAGTTTTTATAAAATATTTGAAGGAGGTAGTTCTGCAAATACAGCTAAGGACGACGACGTTCAGGTTGCTGCCATAGCTAGTTTTACTTCGGATCGCGCGCCGTAAGTTGAAGAGGATCTACAATAACTTGGCCCAAGAACTGGCAGTGGAAGATCAGAGAAGTTATGTTAACTTTTTGAGAATGGATGAAGATGACACATTTACGAAACCCCATGAGCACTGAGGAGCGGCTCATGGTGACCTTGCGATTGCTATCCACCGGAGAAGGTTACACTAGCCTCCTTTGGACCCTCAGGACGTCAAGTACCTGGGCTCACTAGAAAGGCGAGGCTTGAGATCTAAGGAATGTAGAGGTTCATAAGGGCCCGTTTAAGAGGCCTATGCACTGGCTCCTTATAGTGGCCGGAATGCCTTTGATTTCACGATTTATTCATTCTTTCATTCATTACACTAGCCTCCAGTATGCCACACACCATCTGATTTCCCCCATCTTGACACAACTACTTCTTTTCTTTTATCAAATATAGGATGAAGAGACTAAATATGATAAAAGAACTTTTATTAAAGTTTCCTTTTATAAAAGTTGGCCTATTACACTGTCACATTTCTTTTCCAACTTCTTTTATCAAATATCTTTGTCAAAGAAGTTTTATAGTGTAATGCCCGCCTGACACAAATTATTCAAACATTCATTAGACTAAGTAATAAAATAAGTAGATGGTTAACCTACCCAATGATATGAAGAAACTGGCACGATGAGTTAGTTACCTACTTATTTGAACAACTTAAACTTGAATGACATTTAGAGTTACACAACAAAGTACCAGCAGCTTTACAAAGACACTTTCTACTTCCACACTTGTTTTTACAGTGGGACCTTTTATAGCGTTGTCCACCAGATCAGATTGGGCATTGGCTATATGGCGCAGTGATTTGTTTTCGGGCGAAACATTTTCAACGTCTAAGCATTTTGATTCGCACATGCTGAATTGATTCCTAGAAAAAAATTCTAGCACTGTGCCAAGCTGGTTGCCCAAATCATATACCGTCCTCAGTACCACCATTAAACATTTGGGAAGTCTCCTCTACCTCTACCAACGTCAGGAATTTTGACACGGACGAAGCTATCACTTTATTAGCCTGTATTACTAAAGAAACTGCTTACTATTATCCATTTTGTGTTTATTTTTGCACAAGTCACACTTTTCGCTTTCGTCTGACCACAAACCCGACAAACTGCTTTTTCTGTAATTTCATTTCCACTCGATTTCTGTCTTATTTACACCGCTACCATTATTTTTAAACTGTTCAAGAATTTTCTCCAGATTCTCCTCATTCTCACTCACTTCGATTGCTTCGAGAGGCAGAACTGATGACCTCGAGCTAACTTTATCATCAAAACCAAACATTGCTTGGTTCGGCGATCTTTCAATTTCATGATGATATGCTCTATTTTTCATTAGTTAAATAAATCTTAGTCCTTGAGACCTTTTTTGACAATTTTCATCCGTCATCCACACCATGAGCATTTTATCGACATCTTGGTTGGCACGTGCTACGTGACAGGCTATAGCGCGGCTTCCCATGCACAATCTTTAGACCTGATCACATTTCTGTTAAAACTCGGTTAACGAACTCCCGACCATTATCAGATTGCAATATGATCCGAATATGCAAAATACTCGTATATCCAGCAGTACCTTTGATACTTCCTCAGCAGTCTTACTTTGTGAAGGGAGTGGCTGTACGAACTTCGTCAGGTGATCCTGGTAAACCAATACGAGTTTAAAATTGCCATCTGGATATATTTGCATGTCCATCAAATCTACCTGACAAGGCTATTCAGCTCATTAGATAAAATGGGTTTCACGATAAGACCTTTTTGACTGAATTTTGTTTCATTTGAAGTGCCTTACAGAAACGAAGATAAATAAGAACAGCCTCCAGAGTGATGTTTGCGTACTTGTTCTTAGCTTCTACAATCATCCTATTTCTCCCGCCGTGTCCAATTCTCACAGGTATTTCATGAAGAACATCGAACACGTCTTTATTCTTGTTGTAGTATTTGAGGTCCTCGGTATTTTCGCCATTGGATAATGGAGCAATTAACTTCTCGTTATCACCAATGCAACACACATCGAAACGCTTCAAACGGTGATAATGTAGAGTCGAACGCTTTTTGACTTCTTTGCAGCTTTGACGTGTTTGATATTGATGATATTCTTCATTAGTCATATAACGATTATCGCCTTGTTTCGAGAATTTCGCCAGGCTCTCCGTAAAAATTTGATTACATAGATTCTGATTATTCGAACATTTCCACAAATACACGCATATTGCTCGTGAGTGAGTGTTTAGGCGCAGGAGACATTACAGGACCGCATCAAGATATTATGGGTAGTCATCAAAAATTTCATACAAGATAATTATTATCTTTTACAGTAAATTTCAGTTAGAGATTCACAAATGAGTTAACTACACTTTTTAGTTATTAGTAAGTAAGCTGCGCGCACTCATTCAGAAGAGGAACTTGAATCTTCTGAATCGTTTAAATGAATTATTAGAGGTTCAATTTGGGTATCGATGACATTGTCCAAATCCCACATTTTGACCTCAACCTTCTCCCGAACGTGGCGGATACAGTTTTTCCATTCCTCTGCCGTAACTCTATTGACTGCGATGTGAAAGAGATTTTTAACATCAGAAAATTTATAAGTATTATTATTCGACGCCACGTATTGCTTTATGTTGGCCCAAAGCAGCTCAATAGGGTTCAGCTCACAATGGTAGGGTGGCAGTCTCAAGACAGTTTTATTTTCTTTTTTGGCCATTTCGTCGATCATTTTAAAATCGTATTTGTATTTATGTCTATTGAATATACTTATCAATTCACCCTTGACCATTGTTTCATCAAAATCGATCTGTTTTGAGGCCAGCCATTGTTGTATGTTTGCTTTTTTAGTTGCCATTGTGGGAATTTTTTCTATTTTTCTAGAATGGTACGGGGCATTATCCAGTACAATAACAGCGTTATTCTCCAGCTTTAGTAACATTTTGGAGAACCAATTTTCAAAGGAATTGCCGTCCATCTCCTCATGATAGTCCCCTGTCTTTTTTGATTCAAAGACCCACAGTGCTTCGGGAACAAAGCCGTCTTCACTACCTACGTGACAAATGATCAGCCGTTTGCCTTTTTCTGAAAATAAATTATTCCTTACACTATGGATTGATTAAATTTGAAGGAATGAGGCAATTGAGTTCATTTAGCTGAATTTAAGAGTCACGGAATGCTGATCAAAAACTGAAAAACGTAGAAAGTTTGCAACTTCTCAAAACACATTCAAAGCAAATTGACTGCACCTAAAAAAGATAATAAATTTCAAAATAACGCTTAAAAGAGGATCGAAGTTTTTTCCTAATGACTACACTGCGAATGCACCATTTTTGGAGAATATCACACATTATCTGCTATCACAGCATATTATTTGCCCGAATTTATCAAAATTAAATTGCCGGATAGATGAAGGAGCTTACCTGCAGGATTTTTCAATCCAGCCGAAAGACCGTCTAGAAAAGCCTGCCTTGATGATGTTACTGATTTGTCGACCCAAACTTTCGCTTGAGTATGTCCAGCATTCACCCACGTTTCGTCCAAATAGTAAATTTTTCTTTTTTCATCGCGAAACTTCCGAATCTTCCTAAGGTATTCCCTTCTCCACACAACAATTTCTTCTTTCTCTATTAACATACTGTTTCTTCCCCGTTTCAAGAATCGAAAATTAAGTTCCTTCAAAAGTTTTCGGAATGTGGTTCTTTTAAATGATGGAAGATCCTCATCAGCATTAACTAATCTTAATATCTTATCTACTGTAGGTATCTCATTTCGGAAGAAAAAATTATGCACTTTCCTCCTGATGGCAGTTCTGTCAAAGTCATCTACTCCGTCCGTTATCCTTTTTCTTGCAGGATATGGTTTTGGCTCAGAAAGTGAGTGAGTGCTCCTATATTCCTTAATGATCCTATAAACACTGGACCGACATACTCCAGAAATATGTGCTACCTTACATATAACTTCGTCCACGACCAAATCGGGTTTTTCTTGAATTTGGTTTTTGTATATATTTAATATTTTTTGTTTTTCATTTGCACTTAAATGTAGCTTCTTAGCCCTTTTTTTGGTTGGGGTTGCGCTGATGTCAACCACTTCGTCGGCTGTATCTGTGTCAGACATCTTAGGCAATATATAAACAAAACGTTCCACTCGCGAAAAACGAGTATACGCTACTGAATGCGTAATGCGTATGCAATGCAATCCTGTGCGTGAATTAACTGTTAGATGCCTGTCGTGTCATCTACAATCACGTTTACAAGTCCAAACCTGTGCAGATTCGTAGACCGCCGACGACTGCTAGTGACCTTGAATTTGTCTGTAGATCGATGTTACTCCAGTCAATTTAGGTTCAAAGTGGATGTTTTCTAAACCAATTTGTTGTTCCTACATCAAAAATATATCGATGATGTTTTGTACTGGGAGCTCATGAAAGATCAAGGTAACTTATTTTAACAGTCATCCTTTTTCTAGTCTCAAGATGACACGAAAAAGGGTCTGTGGATTCACTAGAAATACACTGCCGAGGATGTTTAGACCTAAAGTGACTGGAGTATATCCGTGGATGCTTTCGAGGGATCTGTTCACGTGCTGATCACTGTTTACGTTTAATGTCTTTCTTCAGCGCCCAGAGTATAGATAGTTTTAACCGCTAAGGATTGGATAGACCTAGATGTAGCTGGGATCAAGTTGGTTGGATCTAGCTTTAACCGAAGACTACCAGCTAATACCAGGTTTGGCCATGAATGTATTGCATAGGTCACACCTAAGACTACCCAACTGCCAGTGGCTAGGTCTAACCCACTAAACCTAGTTTTCACCGCATTTCGGGCTTTAGTCGTAACATGTACAAAAAATGGTTGTGATAAATTAATTTTTACTGGGTGTTCCTTTATTTACGTCATTTCGTCTAGCAATGCGACTACTGCATACTTCTTAATAGCTTAATTACTTTTGTGCATGACTCATTCATAGCAATATGAGATTGATATGATAAATTGTTGCCGTTGTAGAAAAACGTCACGTATGTCTTTCGATCGCAAAGAACTGTGCCACTCACCAAACTAATATTGCTGCCCTTTTGGGTTATTCAGCTATTATGTCCAAATCACTGCTCATCCTGTATATATACAGCCTCACCGTACATTGCCATTTTCCGGTTTTTCCGTCTCTATCTATAGTATCTCGTCTTCACTGAACGGTTCGTTAAGTTTGTGCGGAAATTTATTTGATGTAGATGTAGTTTAATTTTATTTGGCCTCTTTGCATTACATACACGAGTATGGCTCTGTTTCTGTTTGTTCATAATTAAGTACAAGTATTTTTCAAGTAATTTTACGCGGACGCGAACGTGAAACTGTAAATTTACATTTTAACGAGGCACGCCGTCGTGCAGCCCTTTATTTTCTTTTATGTCGGTTTATTTCCCTCATTCCTAGCTAAATCTTTTCAAAAGTTTCGTCGGTCTGAAGTGGGTCTGTTACGTTTAGCTTTATGAGACTTCAGGAAGCTGTAAATATGAACGTTATAACAAGGTTGTCATATGATTATCAGCTGAATATAAGTGTAAATAGATCGGATTTACTTTGGACTTCCTAAGACAGTAAGGCCAGATTTTAGTAACACAACCAATGAGAAATCAGTTTTGAAGTGGAATACATTTAGTTGATCGGTCGTAAAATATATCTCAAATTGGAGAGAAATCATACTATTTGTGTAAAATGGGCCCCTAATTCCCTAATCGCGAGATACTTCAAATGTATCACTTGATTTATAATATAACCACGTATTCGACCAATTAAAAAGAATGCTTTGTGTCCTACTGCTGTATAGCTAAACCAGGTGTTATGTGATTCATTTCTTGATTAAATGTGGGAAGCGGAAGCCTATCATATATTACTCATGTATTCGTATTCAAATACAAGCATTATCACTAAAGTGACGACAACCCGACCGGTTTCTAGCACTGACGTCGCTAGTCGCATTGGATTTGTCCACCAAGTGAATGAAAGGTGTCATCTGTGGACGTCTTTGTGACACTTCAGCTAATGTTCTAATGCTATCTTCAGAAAATGATTGATAATCCGATAAAAGCACTTCTTATCTCGTTTCTCTGTGTACAAGTGATCACCAGACTCAAGAAATGTAATAATACTAATTTTGTCCGTCCAACTAACAGAGAGACGACCATGTCTTATGCTTATTAGCAATTATCTGCGCGATCTAGGCTAGGAGGGACAACGAACGACAGCAGATCAAAGTACTATGCGCTGCCAAAATACACCTCTGGCCAGCCGCGATCAGAGCGCTCAGCTGCAGCTTGTCCAAAGGCTTCTGTCAGGCTGTGCTCTTCTCAGGAGAAACAGCAAACGAGCAAGGTTTACAGGAGGATTGTGAAAGTTTAGCTTTGCGAGACAATGCGATGTTACCTTGCAACCAAGGGAAATAGGTACCTTTATGTTGCGTGAAGATTTCTGCACCAGATTTTATTCACTCTTAATGTAACTATTCAGGAATGAATCGTACATTGATGTATTTCTCCCTGCAGACATTCGTCAGAAGATTTCTGACAAAAGAGCTGCAATTAAGCATGCGAAGAGGTCTTGTCACCCAGATGACATTCACAGAGCAACTAATCTTATTCATGAAGTGAGAAATGCTCTTCATGAATTCCGTAATGAGCAATGGAGCGACTTTCTCTCGGGGATGCTTGACTCAAGTATTCCTCTCTGGAAAGTTGCAAAGTCGCTCAGAAACGGAAAGCGAGAACAACTCCCGTACATCCACGGTCCTAGGGGGATAGTCTGTAGGATACAGGAAAAGGTCGAGGTTTTCGCTGATGCAATGGAAAGTCAGTTCTCTCCCAACTATGACCTTGATAAAGACCTCGACGAGGAGCAACATATTGTA